AAAACTTAAATGGTATAATTTGCCTTAATAGCCAAAACTATGTAAGAAATACATTTTCTATTTTCAATACCTTTGCAATGCTCCAGAAATGACCAACGGTTGAATTTTTTCTTTAAAAATGTTTATTCTGTCGCTCCAATGTCCTTGGCCAACCACGTGGCCTGGCTTACGTGATTCGTTTACAAAGCAGCGTTTTGGTTTCATTTTCTGTATTCAGGACAAGAAAAATGCTTTCAATCTACGTGATGCTCGTTCCTCTTCGCTGGCAGAGTTAGATTTAATGATTTTGCTTCTATTTTCTTTTTGATGCAGCCCAAAGAGTTGTTGGCAGGTGAAATGTATAGCCACAATATAGAAATTCAAATCATATGCAGCCAAAAGGCCTTTTTCTGTTCTGGTTTTATAACTGAAAAAAATACTACATCGTTACACACTTTGCCCGCTTCCCATCTTGATTAGCATTCTTCAGTTGTTTGTCCATTTTGAATTTCCGTTTCCGCTTGAAGCACTTGGCTTTCTCCGTCTTTGTTGTGCCCGCCATGGAAATGACATTTCCGTCACACCGAGGCGCCTGGAAGATGGCCAGCGTCAAACAGCCACATCAAGTTTGCCGACACTTCCATCATTGTCCTTACAACTTTAGAGTTCTTATGGCTTTTCCTATTTTACTTCCAGTTGACATCTGTCCTGGTCGTCTGGTCGGTTGATGAGGGTTTCGTGAAAACTGACATTGACTGCGATTCATATCCACTGATTTTTGAACGTTAACAATCTAAAATTTCACCTTCGCTCTTTATGAGTTCCATTACTCACTTTGAGGGTCAAGTGAAGCGAATTTTATTTACCCCATTCATTTTTTAACTTACTCCAAGGGAGTTGGAGTTCATTTAAATGATGCTCGGATATCAATTTCTTAAAGCTAACAAGGTCAACGGATTGCTTTTCTGTTATCTTATTACTTATGCGACTCACGCGTTCATCGGAGGAAATACATCACTGGATTTGTTAACCCCTAATGGCTCGTTTATTATCGTTGGGTGTGCTAGCTGAATAACAATGCTGGCCAACTCATCAGCTTCATGGCTCAATACCTTTCTGTTTACCTTTATTTTTCTATTTGAAAGTCCCCACTCAAACACGCACTCACTCCCTGTACTTACTCCCCAATGTGCGTTTGTGGAGCACTTCAAATTCATGGCCACGTGACAGTCGCATCAGGAAAGGGAAACGACGATTTGTCAATTGTCTGCGTTAACCTTTTCTGCTCCTCTTCCCATCTAAATCAATAATAAGTCTAGGAAGCCAACTCTAAGCCATATACTTGAGCTACACTCCACTTGGGTTATCGCAATCGAAATTTAAATTTCAAACACACTCCTGTGCAGTTATTTACTTAGCTCTAAGATATATTTAATTAATTCAAAGTGTTCTTCTAATTGCAAGTCAAACACTTATTGACCTGCAGCGGTTTCAGCTCGACAGCAACTGTAATTTCCTTTCAAGTTTGTAAGAATTCGGACAAACCCGACAATATAAAGGGAAAGAGAAATCTCTGCCAGAAAATTCCAAAAATGACGGCTTGGCTTTGTATTTCCATATTCCTTCCTAAGCAGCTGGATCACTGAACTATCCGAAATTATTCCCTGCCAAATAGGTCAATTTATTCGAGCTTCTGGAACTCAATTAACTATCGAAACCCGAGTACCGAGCATATTTTTGAGGTCATGGCGATGAATATATTGTGCCCAGAGCATACGATGCCATTACCAACCCGTTCTACTCAGGCAGCTGCTCTCTCGACTCCTAACTTTGTATAATTTGTGCGACAAACTTTGTCGTGCGAGCTCTGCCAGTTGCGGTCCTGCCTCAGAATAAAAGAAAAAACGAGGACCCAAAGCAGAAGCTGAACTAGGAACAGAACCCTGGGTGGAACCGGAGACCACCAGCTGATAAATTTTCGAGTTTGCTTGCTAATGAATGGCATGCCAGGGAAGTGTTCACTTTTGCTTGCGGATGGGCTCTCTGGTACGCTGCTGTGCGGTCGGTTGTGGAGTCTATCCTGTCCAGATAGAACGTGCTCAGAGATTTACCATTGACACGGACGTGTGGAGGTGGCATCCTTCTCCCAGCTGATCTGCATTAATTGCACGTCGGACTTTGAGTGGCTTTCCAGGAATCAAGCGCTTGCCGATTAATTGAAATTTGATATTTTCTTCAGGGATTCACAACTCTGGCACAATCCTTGGACACCAGGAATGCCTGGGAAGAGCTTATCAGCAGCCACTTTGGTCACCCGCTGGATGATTTCCAACCACGTCCACAGAGGAGACAAGGGGAGTACATAACAGACTTAAGCCTATTTGAAGTAATTGGATTTCTCGGTGAATACATAAGCTGCCATCACCTTTTTCTTCCATTCAAAGCGGAAAATCAATCACAATTCGGTGTGAATGTGACTTTATGATTGGCTTATTACAGTAACATTGAGAGGCTTTTGATTAGCACACGTTTGGCAGGCCCGAAAGTGTAGCCTTAGACCAACAGCGGACTGAAGTACTCGAAGGATCTTCAGTTCTGGTGCGGCATTGGCGGTGGCGCTACTGTCGGCTACTCTTTCTATTAGTGGCCAAGTTAATGGATGCCTGCTCCAGCAGAGCTTTTTCTCCGACTGCTTACCATTGAATGTTCTGCAAGACTTTCCAGCAGCTCCAAATTTTCTTCCATTAAAACTTTTTGTATGAGGTTTTCCCCTTTTCTCGATTTTAGTTTATTTTCTGCACACAGTTTCTGTGACTTTGCTGCGTATAAATTGCCGGCAATTAGTTTAATTGTTTTCCTAATGGTTTCTTCTGTCCACTCTCATTGCACTCTCTCCAGTTCTTATTGGCGTCCATTGATGGCCCTCATTGATTAGTTGTGCATTTGTTTTGCAGTTGTCGATGCCTTCGTTTCATTTTACTCCATGTATTTTTTGTTCCCGTTTTCCAATGGTCATCAGATACAAAAGCTGTTGAGTTATTATTGAATCCTTTGTTGTGCCCAGTAGCCGCATTGCATGCTGGAAATTTAGGAGTATTTGTAGGGAAAATCCTAAGTGGTGCATCAATTTTCATGTTGCTCTTTGTCGATTTTCAATTGTTTCCGAGCTAATTTGGAGCTAATTCGTTATACTCTGGCATAAGCTTTTTATAGTTTTTAGATTTGTAATTTGTCGCTTTACTACATTTGTACATAAAGTGCAGATGAGACTTTTTAGACATCAATTTCTCTCAGAAACACCAACTAAACTGTGCAAAAACTGCTGTTGATTTCTATTAAAAGAGTTACACACAAGCACAATTTATGTGAGAATGTTGGAAAAGTTGCCAAATAATTGAAAAAGCAAGTTAATCCTTAATTGCCTGGAAAATGTCCGAAAAAAGGAGTAGTTTAGTGTAGTTTTTTGATAGTAAACATTTATCAATGGGAGACTGTGAAGTGGCACACAAAAGTTGTGGCAGGAAGTGTGATTATGCTTTTAGTTATGTTGAGAGAAATTTCCCATTTAAATGCCATTTCCAGGATAACATTTTCCTTTGACCGAAAGTGCACTAACTCCAATCTGAAAAGGATGGAAGCTCACTCGAGGTATGAGAACAAGTTGGAAAATAAAAGTGAATGCCAAAGAGCATCCAGTCTCCAGTTTTCATTCATAATGAATGTGTTATGATATAATGAGCAGAAATGATTCCCAATATTCTAGCAGGTGCTTCAACATAATCCTTTGAATCGTTATCATCTATTTAATGCTGATTTTCTGGACTTTAAATTGTCATGCAAGTAATAATGATATCATTTTTTGGTCAATCAACATGAATCTTTTATTATTTTGGTACGACAAATGTTGCATGCCAGCAACCCCAATTCAATTAAAAATCCATTATGCAAATAGAATTGTTTCCGCATTTGATTCCCGTCCAAGCTGCTTCATAAATATTTATGTGCCAACAGGAGGGAGACCGCAGGTCTAACCAAAATAGAATTTTTTCCCCAACCATTATTCACAGAGTAAACATTTGAGGAGGGGCGAAATATTTCACAGCTGCGATTCAGAACTTTCATATTTACTCAGGACGGGGTGAAGTTCTCGTACTTTTGGGGGTCTCTGAGCCAAAACGCTTAAAAATAAACTCGGAATAATTTGGTGAAACAGAAATAGAGGCCACATGGATCATGTCCTGTTGTGGACAATCCTCTAACCAGACAGCTGCATTGACAGCTCTGTGAAAGTTTCAACTGTCAACTATTTTCTAGAGTTGGAAACAAAGCGCATGGACCGACGTGGCGTGCTGCTGTTGAACAAACTAAAATCAGGCTCACATTCTCGCTAAAATTAGGTATTCAGTTATTGGCAGCTCCCAGGAAGCAATTTCATGTCGCTGACTTTCATGAAAGCCACAAACAAACCAAACAAAAAAGTGAAACAGACATTCATAAGCGGAAATGTGTTGTTTGTGTGCATTACGGATGGGCCGGCGGAAGGACAGGAACTTCAACAAAGGATAGATAGGAAAGTTTCACATGGTCGCAAGCATTTCCGAGTGTAACAAAGTGTTCAATAAGTTGAACCCTTAGCTGTGATTGTGCCACAGAGAAGAGAAGCCACGGCACACGTTCAACATTTCGTTGCAAATGTGGCTCATACATTTACAAGGTTGCAGGACTCCACAAAACTAAATAAAACAAAAAAGAAAAAGTGTTGCCCGTAAAGTTTTGAGCACTTGCAGCAGGTACTGTGATTTGATTTATTGGAAAACATGGCAAGTTTGCGAAACCATTTATAAAGTTACATGCACCAATTTGTTCACATGAGCAAAATTATCTGGTAAGAGCTGTAGGTAGACACGAGTCTAGCAATTCGAAGATGTTAAGCCCTTGTGGGAAACTAGCTCTGACTTTTGCTGAATTAAACACCAAAAACATTTCGAGATACTTCTTTCTTATTTTAAAATAAAGCTCTTTATTCGTTATCACATTTCTTTTAATATTTTTCCTTCTCTAATTCAAGCTCGGGCTTCTGCTTTATGCTTGAACAGCTTCTTCGAGATTAAAATTGTCCATTGTAACCAAATCTGAAATTATTTTAGTTAATAGACTAAAAGTGATTTTACTTTGTGCAAAAATTTACCTTTTCCAACGTGAGATTCTCTGCATCAAGACAGCGGCCAGGGCCAAAGGTCCAAAATGCCAGCAATGTTCAATGTTCAATGATAACAGCTAGAGATCCAAAAATACAAAAAAATATATTTTGTATACAAAAAAACCAGTGGTAAACTCCCAAAACCCCTTCAAGTAGAACAACTTCAACCGAAACTCATTTGGGAACGGGTTGGCTGGCGGTCAAGTGCTGACAAGAGGGTCGGCGCTTTTATTTACCTTTAGCATACAGGTAAATTTAATAAAGTTAAAAAGAAAATATATGTTTTTTCTCTGCGTGAAAGTGGTGAAGGAACTACAGTGCAATGGAGTGGAGCGTAGAATGGGAAGCAGTCTGGTTTGGTCAACAGATGGGCGCTGGGCTGGCCACAAAATGCCCCATCCTCTATTCTATCTCTATGCCTCCTAGTCAGCTTATACAATTTGCGATTATATACTGTGCTTGGGGGAAAAAATGCCATTCCCAATCAGGGAATATGCCCTGAAAATTCTCTTCAAGTAGTGCCGACAGCACAGCCATTGCCACAAGAATATCTACCCACTCAGCACCAGGTAAAGTAAAAGAAATGTTGCATCTGGCTATGGAACAGCAAAAACTATGGTTCTGCTTGGCAGAGTCTTTAGCACTTTTTTGTGTGTGTTTTTGTTCGAAAGGACTCCCCTTCTCTGGGGTCTGACGATTTGTGAGGCGGCTCGGTTCTGTTCGGTTTGTTTCAGTTTGGTTTGGTTTTTTTCAGCTTTGGAACTTAGTTTTACGGTGTGCAAACAAGGTAGGGTACCATAAAATACCAGTAGTCTTGGTGTGTAACGAGCAGTTAAAAGACTGGGAGCTACTCAAATAAAATATATGTGAATGGAAAATTGCCAAAAAGGTTTGCAAAATTATTTACATTTACAAACTGCTATCAGCTTGTGTCTTGATTTCTTATTCCATACCAAAATCATATTTTGGCATACTGTACGGTGGAAGTTGTCAGGAGTGGGTGAGAAAACATCTCGATTTCAGACACTGAACATACGGGAATTGTTAAGCTAGCGAGCTTTTTCACGGCGACGATGTGCAGGAAGGGCAGACGGGCAGCATTGCCCATGCAAACGAGAGCGACAGATCGAGAAAGCGATAAGGAAGGCTGAAAGAGAGGCGAGATTCATACACAGGCCGCGATTTGTATGTCAGCAATTGAGCAATGTATGTATGTATATGCGTCGACAGAGGAGGGCAGGCGGGCCGAATTGCCCGTGCCCTAGTGTGAGCGACAGCGACAGCGACAGCGGGCAGCAATGCTGTGATGGCGCGCGAGAGAGCGGCAGCAGAGCAGAGACAAGAAAGAAAGAGGCGAGATAAAGAGACGAAAGAACGATTGTAAACACATATGTACATATGTATGTATATGTATTTCGTGTGTAGTTGACAGTTAGGTACAATAATTTTGCATTGCCATTAAACTACGGATAATTGTGCCAGCTGTTGGGCCAGACTGGAGCATGAACCCTAATAAATTGTTCATATGGATTTGGTTTGGCTTCCTACCAATGGTCCTGCCGCTCAAATTACCATATCTAAAGCCTAATGAGCAAACTTGAAATTACATACAGGTGCATAGAGCAGACCCACACAAATTATATAAATTAGTTGCATTGAAATTCGCCATGCCAAGGATGTTTGTGTGACTGTTGTGGATGCTTGTGTGTAATTCCTTGAACTTGTTGGTCCTGGCATCCGTAGAAGCCGGATCCTGCATTTAGACCACTAACAATTAATTTTAGATTTGAATATAACTTTTGCTTTGTTGTGTATGTAAATTCCTTTTGCATTTTAAGATAAACATTTTCTCTCAAACTAGGTCCATTCATAGATTTTTCAAATCTTCTCTATTTTGTATTCATAATTTAATCCAGCCAAACTTTTTCGTGATTCCTTGAATTCTATGTGTTCCTGTACTTATTGTAATATCTTGATTTGGTTCTGTTGTGCAGATTTCGTCCACTAATACAATGTTTAAAATATTCTTGTATATTTTGTTTGGTCCCCATTTAAGTTTCTAGCGTACAATCAAGTATGCAAATATTTTGACTGGCTTATTTAGAAAAACTTGACAGGAAGGCCTTCATTAGAATAAAATATTATAATATGTGTTTTATCTACGAAATAAATTGCATGAGGAAAATGTCCTACATGTCTATTTTTTAATTTATTCTCCCCAAAAAGGAATAGTTAAGGTTGAGGAAACAGTGCGAAAATTAATTGTTCTACGAAAAACGGTTCCTTGTGGTGGCTGGTGGTTAAGATGGTCCAAATTGATGAAACAATTTTGGTCATAGAGTGTCTGCCTGTGGATTTATTGCGGGTATTAATTTCAATTTACTAGACACAAATCTGTGGAATAATAGGGTTATAGAAAGATAAATGGGAGTGGATTAATGGGTTTCAAAACTTGAATTATAATTTTTTGGTTTTGTGTGCTCTTCCTTACTAAAACTTTAAACACAAAACTGAGAAAAGTGAAACAAACAAGAAGCTACACAAGTCCTGCAGCGACAGCCCGAGGCTGAAAGCTTTTTCCATCCACTAAAAAACTTAAGGTCAAAATAGCCCTCAAAAGCGCGCCCTACGGCACCGTCTGCTGATGAAAAATGTGAAAAAATTCAATAAAATACCCAGAATAGAAAAGAATACAAAATAAAATGGAAAGATCCAAACACTCATATGGCACATACAAAAGGCAGGGGAGGAAAAAAACCAAGTTGGGTTGACTTTCGCGTGTTTTACTTACCCGCTTCGCCGGGTTTTGTAGTTACCGACCAAAGTGCTCGAACACTCCTCTAGATCCTGGGCCGCTTTCATCGATCGAAGGCCTCCTTTTGTATGTGGCCATTTGGTAAACTGCACACATAAAAGAGAGCAGAAGTGTAGTATGAGTAATGGAATGTAAAGAAGGGATAGAAGGAAAGAGTGGCAGCGAGTGAGCAAAGTATGTTTGTCTCCCCAATTGGGCAGGACTCAAATTTTAAAATCGTGCATATAAACGTTGTGTATGATCGAAGCTTCCGCAGCTCAGTTCAGCATACTTTTCTACTCCTTTTTTATAACATAAAAATCTGTAACAAAAAGAAATGGTAGCCGTAAAAAAATCCTTCCAGAAAATCAGTTTAAAGTCTAAAAGTGTTTTGGCATCGCTGAGACAATTGACAAATTTGGGATTGGTGCAGATGGCTTTGGTATATTGAAATTAGCCTAGAGCGGGAAAAACGTCACGTATTGTTTTTGTACATTTGAAACATTTTCAACAAAAAATTGCAACCGATTTGTTTTATAATTTCTCACTAAAATTTAGTCACATACAGAAAATGTAATTCTCACTTTTTGGTGTTGTTAAATCCTTGTTCTATTACATATTCCTTTTGTGTTATATTTTTATACTTGTTAAATATTTACATAAGTGTATTACTAAATAATTTACTGATTTATCCGCCGCTAAACCGTAGTCTTACAGATTTCACGACAAACTGAAGTGCGGACCCTCATCGGTAGACATGTTAAAGATGCTTGCAGCATGCAAACCGTTAACAGAGACCAGAGCTCCAAGAATGTTATGAAAGAGGGAATTTTCCTGATGGGGAGTGTTGCCATCAAGCATGCTCGATGTTCCAAGCGAACATGTGCTACAGCGACTCGTTTCTATGCAAATGTAAGGGAGTACCTGGATGTAGTGGGAAATTATTCCGAATTTCACTAATAACGGATTTGGAAATGGAAATATTGCAAAAAGGAACTCTATTATATGTACATACATATGTATAAAGATAATTTTAAACACTCAGCCACATATAAAATCTCATGGCGCATTTCATTTCCAAGAGTACGAACTACATTTTAGTGATTTAATTTGTTCTACTCGCACCCTCATTTGTAGTTAGTCGAGGCGACTAATTGGCTGTCATGTTAACAGCACACCGCCACCGCATTTCTTTAATTACTCAGTCTCATATGCTGTGTGACAGCTAGAAGTGTGCCATCTCGCTGATGGGTATGTGGGCGAGTTCCAGAAAAACAGGGCGAGAATGGTAAATGACTTCGTATAATATCTCAGTCCTCCCATGGTAAATGATATCTTTGTTTACTCAGATGCTTTGTCAAATGTCTGGCAATGTTCTCGCCCTGCCTTTGTTTGTCCTCTTTTGGCTGTGAAAAATGTTTATGACTAAGAAAATGTGACCATGGCAGGGGTTTGAGCTTGAAAAAATCCGTATTTAAATGCGAAAATATGTCTTGGCCCGGGGAAGAAGTTCCAGCAACAAATTAACGAAATCAATTTGAAATTTTCATTTTCTCGAACTTTTTATGTGGGTTAGCAGCATTTGACACTCAAGCGGAGACACCCACATATTCATTGGCCCTTGGCCCAGCACTTTTTAGGTCATTGGGAAAACTTTCCATGGCAAAGACAAAAGTTTTAAGTAGTAGCTTAAATTTTATATTCTTACCCCATTTTATTATGTGCAGCGGTCGCTGGCTTTGCCGTTTTCTGCTGCTGCTGTTTTTAAAGTTTGCGGAGAAATTTAATTCATTTATTAGACAAGCTCGACCCTCTGTTGCCATGGGGCTTATGTGCCACGCCTGGCCGAATTTTATATTAATGATATTCTGTGTGCTTGAAGTTAATTGTAGCCTTGATGTTGGAATATGTTCCCACAGGGTTTATCCAGCCAGACTATGAGTGCCGCTGATCTGGCTCCTATAAATTAACTCAATATCTGCGAAAATGTTTGCTCTCTTATGTCTAACGATACGTGGGCTAGCCACAATGTCAATTGCAGCTTCCATAACTTGTTTTACTTTTATTTTATTTGTGTTGGAAAGATAAATTTGTTGTTCAACTACTTTTTAAATGCTTTCACATGCGAAACGTTAGAAACGTTGATCAAAGTGCACAAGTTTCCACTCACTTTGTTTACTTTTATTTCTGCGGTCGAACATCTTGGACGAAGGCCCCTGAAGGCTTTTCGATTTATGTGGTTGCAGCTGTGAAGTACTTTCTGGCTAGGCAATAATTTACAGAATGTGCAGCATTTATTTATTTGCCTGCCTCCAGTGAGTTTTTAGCTCTAAAATCCTTGGAAACGTTTTGTCGGCGACTTTGTTTAAAAATCGTATCTAACGTTAGTCCTTGTCTAATCCAATTTCAATTGCTTAATCCAGCATGATTGACACTTAGAGCGAGGTTGAATCATGGTCGTGACGCCCCAGCGCCAGCTTTATGCACCAAAGCACTTTAAATACATGGGATTGCTATTGAATTAGGCACTCACCCACACATGTCAACATATCATGTTACACTCAAGTGTGTTTGTTCTGCGCCAAGTAAGATGTAGTTCAGAATGAAACGGGGTTCGTCTCCAAACAGAATCTCACAATGTTGACCCTTTTATTTCAGCTCAAAGTTTTACAGCCAAAAAAAATAAACTTCCAGCTGTGTTTGCTGAAGTTTTATGTGCGCACAGATTTTACGACTTAGTGTACTGGCACATAACTCTTCAAGGAGCGGCTAAGTGGGCTCTGAACTTTGGTTGGGTCAGTACAGAGGATTGTGTATGGCATTTTAAGCGAATCTCTGGCATCTCTGTCCTCTCAGCTGAAGGTATCTTTCAGTGGCCAAGCAGCTTAAGGTTTATTAATAGAAAATCACCATAAATATAAGTTCCTTGGATGGCTTCATAGCTGCCTATCAGGACTTTCCCTTGCCAACATCCGCTTTGGGGTTGAGCGAAGCGTAAAACTTCTCTAGTAAAATATTCCACCAGCAGGCAGGCTCAAGCATAATCCATTTATATACACTCGATAAAAGGCCTTACCAAATTGACAATACCAAATTGCTTTATTGGACTCGGAGTAAGTGAGAGGAACTGCAGGCAATTTACTTTTCTTTGATGTAAATGGATGAAAGCTTTGTCTAGTCAAATAAAAAAACATCCAAGTGGCACGGCACTCAACCATTTTAAAAATGAAGCAAAGTTTCTATTGTGTTAAAGGTAAACCTTCTTTCTGCTGAAAATCTATAAATCTTCACTCTATGACATAAAAAACCAGCCGTACACGTGCTGCAATATTCAATCGACACCATCATGGGGAAAAAACCAGCAAATAAATTACCCATCACCACCATAAAGTTCTCTGTTCATTCGAACTGCTCTTGGAAGTCTCTCTGCGGGCTTGGCGGCTCTACATTTATGAATTTATTTATGTGGATAAGTCCACACTCAGCGCCACATTTGTCTTAAGCGGGCCCCATAAACAAATCTGGAATTCTAGCAGGAACAGGAACAGCCTGGCTAATCATACCCGCACCACGTTGGACATAACTTTACGGCTCCAAGTTAAAGCCGCAAAAATCAGCAAAGCTCGTGCGGTGGCAACGGCTGCTGCTCCTGAATGTGAGCCCCTCTCGTGTCACTTTCCATAAGGGTTGGCAGAATCTCCACCTGCGTGGAGCGTATGATTCCGCATTTATTACAACTTTTGCTTAATTATAATGAGATTTACTTTAGATGGAATCAATAAAATGAAGACCTCAGCTTGAGGTCTCTTTGCTGAACTCATTTTAAATTCAAGTTAATCCGCTGTCATGTTACCCCAAATTGTTAGGTTAGGCCTTGGATTGCCAGCAGTAATCAAAAACTAAAAGTGTAGCTGAAAACTCAATGAAAGCATTTAAAAGGGTATTTAATTACAATGTGATCAATTCAATTCCTCTCTTTCAGCCACTTGCTTCAGTAGAATTATAAGAAAAGTGGAAAAATCTTCAGTGGGAATTTAAGCAGCTGCTGCAAATCCTTTTTTTGCTTCAAGGCAAATATTCAGCGCTAATTAAATTGCATTGAGAAAAGTGCTGTCCTCCATTAGAATTTGGATAATGAGCCGCGAAAAGGAGAATAAATTGAACATGGTTCAACAGCAGGAGAGAAGAGAGAGAGACAATTTGCATATTTAATTGTTAATCGTTTGACTTTCGACATCTCGAGGGCTTTGAATGGTGGATACGAAATCCGACGTTTAACTGCAGATTGCGCAACAATTCTTTCGCCTGATTAGCAGCATATTTGATTGAATCCTTTGTGATTCAAGCAGGGAGAAAATCGAGGAAAAAAACCATAGAAAATAACGAAAGGAAAGCGTTACGATGGGCGAAGGACACAGCTGCCAATAAAGCGCTGACTTTGATTAGTGAATAATTAGACGATGATTCCAATAAAACCATTGATTAATCACATGCAATGCCTGCGATTGCGATATATTTTAATTGCAAATCAACAGACGGGCAGCAGAAGTTTCTGAATTTGAATGGGGTTCCTCAACGTGATTCGGTGGGTGTGTGTGTTTTTTTTTTCGGCGTATCCCCCCAGAACTCCAACCAGAAACAGATGAAAATCTCTGCAGGGGAAGTGTCTGCTCAAAGTCCGCCCTCCATCTCAAGGGAGTTTGGACTGTTGCACAATAGTTTGTAGTTTCAGTTCACGTTTTTGACATGAATAAATTGGTGAACATAACCGGGATAAATATGCTCCCACTTGTGTCACGCGCATTCGTCACACGAACATCTCACAAATGGAATTGCAACTCACGAAAATCCATCTAGTTTGTATCGCAGAGGGGAGTACAAAATCTGGCACAAGCACGCATAATCAATGGCTTGAAAGTAACCGGGATTTTGGTCTCAATCTGGGATACATTTCCGCATTTTAAAGGGACAGCCGCATGGCAGAAATATGCTAATAGTTGAGCCCCAACCAGGCATGGGTATGTCATGTGAAGTGTGGAAAATATTTCCAGTAACCAGAATAGGATGCTAAAGGATCTCAGACTGTTTTCCATTTCGGTGCCAAGGATTTAGGCAAATACTTTAATAGTGCGCAAAGACTTTTATATTGGGTTTAAGCGATTTTGCTGAACTAGTTTCACGCTTTCCTCACAGGCTCACAGCGAAATTTATTCGCTGGCTGCTGCGATAATTCCCAATGCAATTTCACAAACTGCGCTCACTCCATGGACATCAAAGAGAAAAACCAGGTCTTCTGGTGTACCTTGAAAAATAAATGTGTTTTTCCCAATGTTTTTAAGCTTATTTTCTCTCTCTGTAAGGTGCTCCCGCAGCGCCAAGTGCCAGCGTTGATGGCCAGATATTTATGTGGCTGTAAGTGTGGTCAGTTTATTCTTACTTTATGCCCCCTTGTGGGTGAAATATTATACACCTGCTGAGGGACACTCCATCGTCCGTGAACGTTATAGTGTGCACAGTGTGTGGTTTGGCCCTAGAAATTACTGCAAGCTTTTCTTGGGCAAGGTGTCAACTGATAGGGGTAGTAAAATATATCAGCCGTTTCCCACATGAACTTCATGACAAAAGTATCCATAAACGAATAATGACAGACTGACATCGTGTCTGTCTCTTGCCTTTCAATTTGGTTTTTAAATCAGCAATTACTCGGAAAATCAGACTGCGTCAAAGGCAAACGAAAACGATGGCTGCAATCAGGTGAAGTGGAAATCGATCTTCCCTTGACAATTAAATAGGCAAGGTTTCATTTAATTTGTGAAAATTTGTGGATTGAGGTCCACGCCAAAAGGTTTAAACAATGCATTTTTATGATAAAAGAACAGCAAACACACAGAAAAACCATCTTTCATATAAGGCCCCACATATGCAAAGTGCTGAAGGATCCCTGATTCACGCGTGTTCTTGTGGGCTATGGATGCTCGTGGCATTATCCAAGGGACTGTAAGGAAATTGGCATTGCCTCAAGTCTCTCTCTCTCTAAGTGCACTTTGGTGTTCCATTGCAGAGATATTTGTACATACAAACAAATTCTAAAAATAAACATTTATTTTAGTAACTTTCTGCATAACAGATTTTGGCGCTACTAGTTCGCTGATGGCTTGGGGCAACTCTTTTCAGAGTGGGTTCCGAATGTGCAATGAAATGAATAGAAAATGATTTTGTGTCTGAATTTGGAATTTCCTGAGGTCATAAATATTTGAACAGTTTACTCTATTTGGTGCTAGAGATTGAAGCTCGAGCAATAGAATACAGATATGAAAGGAGTCAGTTCAAGACATTTGCAAGACAGTGGAAATTGGATTCCATCTGGCTCAAGTATCCATATATCCTTATCCATATCCCTATCAACCCACATTTCTAGTTCCCCACCAAATAGAATTCTGGATATTTGTGTGCCTCGCAAAGAAAACTTGAAAATGTGTTAATTAAAACTAAACGATTTGGAGCACTAAAACAGCTGTCCACATAGACCAACTACGCCCACAGGTTGTTTTGAGGGTGAGGTGAATAATGTTGTCCGAAATTTCACAAATTTTCCCCTAACACTGTGTCTGGGGCAGCGTCGCCATGTGACCTCGTTCGCATGTTGGTCCGAATTCTCAATTAGTTGGTCACTGGTCACTCTTTTTGTGTGCCGGGAAATGTGGGTGGCTGTTGTCGTTTTTGTTGTGTTTATTTTTGTCGTTGTTGGTTTCATTAGTGGTGGAGTTAGGAAGTGACTCCCCGTCTGCCGTCAGTCGTTTGCTTTACTTTCAGGGAACATAGGATGTGTTATCGTTGTTCCTTAAATCAAGGTCTTCAATTTGTGAACTATATACCTCTACGAATAATCTTCAGTATTAAAATTTACCTTACTTCCTGTTTCTTTTCAGCTAAAAAGTGAATTACAAATCGATGAATTTAGGTAGCGTTATGCTTCCAGTCAAGTGCCAGCGCCACAAATCCGCCTACAGCCATCATACATAACTGGCTGAGAGACAAAGGTAGCCTATAGCCTGTCGCCACACGTGAAAGCCGGCCAATTAGCGCTGTTTATTCACGCGTAATTACGAGTAACAAACCTGTTTCAACATACGCCGCTTGTCTCATTGTCAACCTTTGAGTGTCGCTTTGGGTAGTACAGGAGGCTGCGGTGAGCTCTCGAGGCGGGCAAACAAAACGGGAGTGAGTGATTGACGTTTTAATAAGTGGCACTTAACATGTTCCAGGTGCCATGAGCCTCCTTTCGCACACTTAATACTTGTACACCATGCGTCATATCGAGCAAGCCGGAGTCCACGGGAACACACAATTGTGCCTGTGCTTGTACATGAAATTAATTTGACACAATATATAACATTTTTCCACTGGCACACTTCGCGTATACAAATACGTAATTTAGACATATTAAATCTGATTCACTGTTGACAATGGTGTTGCAGACATCTCGTCTCATCCATTTTAAGCTGTCTGCCCAAAGAGAGAGAAGACTTTAAAAATGTAAGGCGCTTAGCAGAGTGACAGGACCGTCAACTTTGAGAGACTGGCAGTGACTTTGAGAGTAGACGATGTACATACATATACTGAATAACGAATAACCTTTGTTTTGGTTTCACAGCCTAATAATTGACAGTCATCTCTAGACAATAGTCACTGGTGCAGCATTAGAGTAAATTACGTTATTTGTTCGTTCTATGCACTGTCCACTGTACCTAATTGTCGCCCATACGTGTTTTCGCAATCTTCTTTCGTCTCTTTATCTCGCGCCTTTCTTTAATCTGCTCTCTCTCTCTCTCTCGCGCTCTTGTCGCAGCTGCGTCCCGCCTGCCCTCCACTATTGTCGCATACACATGTACATATGTATGCATGTTTGTACATATGCATATTTACGGTAAATTGCTGACATACAAATGCATGAATCTGTCGCTCTCGATTGCACAGAGCTGTGAATGTAGCGGAGCACAACTCTCTCTACGAATTTTTTGGAAGCTCGGACAAAACGCAAACACAATATTTGAAAGTTGCATTATATTGTGTTTGCAAATGCCATTTGAAAACCACTGAAACGTTAATTTGAAATGCAGAATTAGAGATATCAAAGTGAGTGCGGCGATGGTAGATATGTAGACACATATCCCGTATCGCTTAGTCCGACATATTGTGTACGCAATCAAAAACCAATAGCATTCAACTGTATCTAAATTTCAAAAAGGCATCCAAATCAAACATCATTAACAGTAATTTTCAACGCCCTGGAGGCTTCTTTCTTTGTGCATTTTCAGGGAAAATTCTAACAAATCATCTGTTTTCGAATGCTGCTTCATAATTTATATAACTAAAGTGGCAGAGGGGGGCATCGTTTCAGTTCATTGAACTATCAAAATGTAAAATAGGTAAGTAACATTTAATTAACCGCTGTGCAATAATGCCTGCTCTTGTCATGGCTCTATCATACATGGGATTGGACTCTGGGGTATTGCGGCCATGGAAAAGTAGCAAGCGAATATTTCAACACGAAAGAACTAATTTTTCCCCAGGCAAAAACTGTGCAGCAATCTTCGACATGGTCTTGCCTAAATTGTGTTTATTGGCTCTTACACAAATTGATTGCCCAAATGCCATTTGGAAATAATGGAAAGTCTTGACATGGATAACGCATACAAGCAGACAGCAGATGGCGGAGAGAATACGGCACACACACATTTTCCTTCTGCTGAGTGGAAATCCATTATGTGACCCAGAGGCCCTCGGCGTACTCCACAAGATTCTGCCATTGTCAACTGGCTTTGGATTTTTGCCATTTCCACAGCAAATTCCAGGCATCCCTAGCCTAACAGGGGCTCACATAAACACTTGTTTAGCCCGAAGTGCATTTGTTTGCCATACCGATAGCAGTGGGTTTGCCAGGGCACAGAACCGAGGCACAGACAGACAGCAATAATGAGATGGCATCGAATTTATTTGCCATTTGAACCTCCAGAGACGCATGCCGAGTGTCAGGTCCTCTCAAATATCAATGCCACCTCGGGAAATGGAAGGGGAATGCTGTTTTGATATCATTCTTGTCTGTGGAGTCTCAAATTAAAAACTGGCTGGCCAATTCTTCCATTGAACCATTTCCGTGTTGTCTTAATGACTTTCAAATTGCAAGCCAAGCCGAAGAGAGCAACTGCCACGCAGCGTGATTGCCATAAGATTCTGGAAACTACTGCAACAGACACGTCTTCGGTTATTGCTCTCTCCCACAAGGCTGCCAATGTACGTGCTGGTTACCTCTTGATTACTTTTGTATCGTCTGCTTGATTGCAACAGAGTTTCCTTAACTTATCACCATTCAGCCTTCAGCATAGCTCAACTGCATTCACACACCAAAGAGCCCGCATAAAATGTGACAAGGTGATAGAAACGAGCACTCGAGCCTGGAGCCTGTGTAAAAGCTTTTAGTGCACCCAAATGACATGCATTGAGGCTGAATCTTCATTATCTGCCCCATGTGCAACGTGCCACACACTCTAGTAAAAACCCATCAAATCATAATTGAAGCGCACAGACTGTCCATCAATAAAGTGAGATTGAGTAGGCAACGATGAAGCCCAAGCGACAGGCACACCTTTCTGGCGACATCCAATAGTGAATCTATGTGCCTGGCAACACCAAATGGTAACTTGTAACAAATGTTAAAGACTGCCCAAAATATTAGAAATTTTTCCTTGGAATAAACATGTATTTTTTTGTGAGTGTTTTTCACTGGCAGAAACTGCTTTATGATGCCTCTGCTGTGGCATCCGTCGGACTTAATTGACACTCGGCAAGCAATTTGAAGAGATTTTCGCGTGAGTCTTCTGCAATGTATTATATGCCATGAAGTGTTTCGTTATTGTCACATCATAATGCCCACTTATATGGTTCAGACCATGACACTGTCTCCGCTTATTGTTTCACTTTATGTTTACCGTTTATTTGCGCACAAATATTTTATCCCTCCATTTAATGTCTCTCTCTGGTTCTGTAGTTGTTTTGCTTTCTCTTTCACACACTGTCTACCTCTCACTCAATTATTTTCAAATAAATCTTTTTCACAACATTTTACCGCTGGAACGTGGTGTGGTCAAAGTGGCGTCATGAATATTCAAGTATTTATTCAAGGGTTTGTTTCATTAATACACAAGAGTTGCCTGCAGCTTTCCTCTGCAGCTCATAGCTATCTTTTACCGGGAAAGACATACCAAAAGTCTCGAAATTCAAAATTGAATTGGCAGGAAAACAGACACATGAATGGTAGTTTGGACTAAGAGTTTACACCATAAAAAAAGACTTAGTTGCATTAAAAGCTATCCAAAACTCACAGCTCATTATGAACCTAAATTTACTATGCAGATATAAAAGTTCTTTGAAAAAAAAGGTGCCACAAAATAGAAAAAAAACTGCACCAAATTTGGCAACTTTTCCAGGACACACATAAAGAGATTTGCCGAAAGCTAGACAGCTTATAGAGAGTGCACGTAATCAGGATAGCAGCATAAAATTTAATTAAACTTCCAGCCACGTTTGTTACCTATAATAAGAGCATTAATGATTCCCGTAAAAAGGATATTTACATAAAATATACATTCTAATGGCAATTACTAAGAGCATGCCATGGTAATCTTATTTCAAATACTGTCATTCAGATTACATATAAAATTAATATTATTAGTTTCAAAATCAGTCAACACAAAAAGAAAGTTGTAGCAGAAAAAGCGGCCAAGTCCAGACAAAGCCAAATTGGATAAATATTATCCTTGTGTCGTGGCAAATATCGAAAGGCAGAGGAGAAAAACATTTCTTTCAATAACTTAAGAACATTTCCAACAAATACACAAAACTTTATTCTCCTCCCAAGGTAAAGGGCACTTGAAATAATATCAATTACAGCACAAAGATCCCAAGCCCCCACCATGTAACTAAAATCCCCAAACAAGCAGAGCAACATCCAGCCACATTGCTCTTGGTAACTGATTCAAGGATCCTGCCACTTAGCCACCCGTTTGTGGAATGCCAGTAGAGTGTGCGAACAGGAGAATGGTGTCTGCGGCATCTGAGTAAACATGGCTATCAGTTACAGTCTGGATTCGGTGTGCGGACTCGGACCTTCAGGTCTCATGGCATACGGAGACACCCTCTCCATGTTTGTGTTTATCGTAAGGCTTGTCTAATTATGCAAAACTCAGCAACTTTGCGATGCGTTAATGGGACACTCATAAAACCCACACAAAAAGGGAAAACGTGCGAGGGTTAAATGCGGAAAAAGGGCGAACATTTCCCCATGACTAACAACTTTGCTCACTCTAATTAATGTCAAAACTTTAAGGTCGTCCCATATCCGAGATTCAAGCCATTTGACCGATTTGAAACGAGTCTAATGAGACACCAAATGTTGCAAGGGTTCAAGCATGAATGAGTAAAAAGTGTGTGTGTCCAGAGGATATATTAAAATCCTCAAAATAAAATATTTAAACCATATTAAATTTATATTGTTTCCCGCCAAACCCAAGACAGGGGCCTGCGGCAAGCCAATCAAATTAATGCCCGGCTCTGAAAAATTACTTTTCGCATTTGATTAATAATCCCGGAACAATGGGAGCCAGAGCCAAGCCATAAGCTCATAATAGTCATGGTCTTAGCCTGAATCCCGGGGGTGGTGGCATATTTTGTGCTTATCAGCGACTTGAGTGGAATGAGAATGCCGCACTTTAATTAGGAAAGCGCAATTCAGAAAACCCATGAATCCCTCGAAAGGGTCGAGTGGAGGTTTACTATCTAAACTTACCTTAAATTTTAAATTAAGACTAGAAAATCTGCCTGTAATAAAGATTCTTAAAGGCCAAAACCAGATGATGACGATGATTACGTCGAGTCTTACGGCTTTCTGTTGTTTTTCTGTGGGTTCCCAAAAACAATTTGTTTGTGGGTGAACTTTAGATTAATTCCTGGAGCCCTCCATTTACCATAGTTAATGGGATGTGAAGGTGGAGAAGTCATGGGGCATGTTTTTTGTTTAGTTTATGCCACAACAGCTGACTTCCTGTCCGCTAATCCCGGAGACAACGGAACAATTCCGTTGTTCGGCAAAAACGAAAGACACCCTTAGACCGGTGAGAGCTGACGGCGAAAGACAAGCAAGCGCCTGGCCACCCGCCCTTGCCCTAGACTTCTAGCACTTCGAGCACTTGGTCCCAGTCTAGGGCAGATGGTCGGCCAATGGTATTCATAGTTCTCCTACACTGCCACATAAAACGTTTACAGCGAATGTTCGCCGCTAAAGCATTCAAATTACAACAAGAATTAACACTCCAACTACTGCCTTGATGTTCTTTTCGGCACTTCCGCGCTGGGTAACTTCCGCATTAAGATAAAGTAACACGAGCCAGGCCACAGAGAGCGAGTATCTTCTGTGCATTCTCTGTTCTCAAGTAAAAGTTCCACTTAACATTTCCTCTTTGGCTGCTGCAATTGTCAGCCAACGCCAATGG